TTAGACGAATAATTTCATATGATTGAACCATTTCTCCGTTTCGCTTTGTCCTTTGGAGGCACAATGATATTAATAGGTCTTACGCTTTCATTGGATTTCACAGAATTGCTTCCTAAATATATTATTATCCAGAATGGGCTGCAATTTCAACCTCACCTAGGTCGGGACTCGGGCCATGAAGGGGCAGCATATGATCTAGATACGTTAACGATCACGCCACCCTCCCACGAATCCCTTTGAGTTACAGGCCAAATGTGATGTGGCAGTGTTGCGGAGTCGATTATATGCTGAACTAACATGGTTCGAGCCCCGCTGGGGGTACCGAAGAGACTAGTCGTTGTCGAACCTGCAGCCCACCCTAGTCCCATTATTTACGATTGTTCCTTTTTCATAAATATTGTTCTATGTATTAAGCTGGGCCACAAAAATTAGATTCCCGTCTGCCTATTTTTCTAAAACAATGTAATTAGTTTTAAGGGGTTATTTCGATCTGCTCTATCTTGCTCTCATTTATTCATTTACATTTATCTGCACATTTTGTTTTTCCATTTGCCTTGGCTTACACTCTATCACCATCATTCTCGCCGCCAAAACAACCTCGGTCCCCATTCATTTCGGCACAATAACCATTACTTAGATAAAACTACAAATCTGGCCGGATTAGTCGCCAGCCCCGGCTCTTCTAGCCTACTTTTGCTGAGTTCTGCCGTCCTAGCTACAGCTGCTGCTGCGACAAATGTCAATGGGAGTATCAGCACTGGCGATTCTCTTGTCCCTGGGCCTCCCGACGCCGAATCTGGCTTGAAGGCAAATACCATCGACTCACCACCGCATGACCTAGTGACACCACCGGCGCTTCTAGTACCACTTACCAGTCAAAGGGCTCTGCAATCTAAAAGCGCCAGCCTAACAGATGGTCTTCTATCAGGGCGGCATGAGTCAAGTCTCCAGGTCTCACTTAATATAAGCAATAATACGGAAATCGAGGCATCTTTGCGGCCAGCCAAATTCATCAATACAGCTGGCACTGAATTTGAGACCCCTTTAAATACTCCTGAAAGACATCTTTCTTGAACTAGCCCTACCTAACGAGTCTCTCTGAAAAATGTGCCACTAAATGGGCTTCAAATTGAGTCCGCTGACATACAAAATCCTCCTCCGTATGGCAAATTTCTGGAAGAATCTCTACTCTGGTTATCTGATTACGAATATCTTATTGAGGGTCTAATTGCCGATTGTCTATAGGGCCTTGCCTAAGCTCTGCGCTTTGAATTCGGAACAAGTACACAAGCATGTTTCCATCTCTGTGCCCAATAAGCCTCCAGTAAAGCATCAGCTTTCAGTCCCCGCCTTAGCATGAATCTCTTTCTTTGATCAAGTGTAGTTTTGATAATTACTCTAGCCAATTGTCCAGGTGGTCTTACTCTGATTTATCCATCCGTGCCAGCACTAGTATGTTAGTATTTAGGCAGTCAGACTATGGTAAACCGATCTTTCCTCTTTCACCTTCCCTATCTGCCTTTCCACCCAACATGCTTTAAAATATGTGCTTTAAGCCCCCTGCTTTATCTCACCCCCACAATACTGCGCTACATACCTAACATTTTTGCTCAGTCAAACATGAGAATTGGGATATCCCAGTGGACTAGGCATTGAAACTACCTGGTCTTTACTCTTTTGTCCCTAATTGATTCTTCTCGCCTCAAGCATCCCCACATGAGCACACACACAGGCCAGTGCATATGCTTGTTTGTATGTATGGTTGCGTTTTTCCGCAAATACGTATTCTTTTACTCTGGCATTAGGCATCCTGGATGTTAGCACGCGGAATCACCCTTTATGTTTGCGTATATACATATATATGTGTGCGTATGTGAATGCTTAGACACATGCCCGAGCATTGAGGATAATATATTTTTATTGGCCTCTCTATCGAATCCACATGAACATGTACAAACTCATTGGCTCTCATACATGAACATGGTAACGCAACTAACTGAATTGACGATCAGAGACAAGTAGGCTAATCTCATGTCATCATTTAATTGGCTGGACCGCCTCGTCTTTTCAAGACATTTTGTTTGAAAACAGCAGTACTGAGCCCATCAATCGATCTTCAAATTGATATTTTCCCCTACCCCTACAAATCTGGATACGCATCCGAGTCCTAGTGCCTGATTGGCTCACGCGCCACTCTAGAACCCTCTTTTTGACTGTACATAACTGGTGTCCTATCTGAAAAGGACATTCTTCTGCTTATTTAGTGTTGCGTTCATTTCAGACCTCGATGAAGCAATGGAGAATGGATTCGATTAAATTATTAAAGCTGCCTAACAAGCAAACATGAAATCTGAAAGGACTTGCCACTTTTCCATATCATTATGTCAACTCTCTTCGCCAAGTGAATATTAAAGTGTCAAGGCTGTTCAGATTAGACATCTCTCATTACTTTGCAATTACACAACCTATCCCCACACGGCCGTTAAGGCCGAGACAGATCTCCCCCTATGAGCTACCTCATACCGAAATCAGGATTTGGGCAGCAGTCCTTATTATCTTCTAGAAGTTACCTGACACCACAAATTGTACACTAGTTGAACCCTTTCAATTCCTATCCACTGTGATCTGCACGTTTAAACGCGATTTGACTGTCACCTATTATTGTTGGCCGTTATCCCGTCCCAGATTTTTCATACTGTTTTTTTTCTTTATTGGTTTATATTTACATGCATGCCACACATTATACTACACTTCTTTCAAATTTACATGCTACTCTGTAAGCCCTTAAGTAGTGTGCTATTTTTTGTAAAATATCATTGTCGTGATACCATGCTGTTGGACTCAAAAGAACGCAGCATACTTAGTGTCTTTCCTTTTTCTCTTTCACTTCAGAACATAACTTTGTCAACTACTTATGTATTCTGATAATAACCATCATTTAATGGGAACGGGACTTACTGTAACAACGCACAGGTAATGGGATGTCGCATTTCTACCTAAAATCCCCAATGTAAATTTAGCATAATAACATAATCACAAAGCTTCTCTCTTTTGTTATCCCTTCTACTCGTTACCCTAAATAACACTGGATGTAGTTATTCTCTTCATGCCCTATTCTTCAGCTTCATTTCATTCGCTGACAGTGATAAGGGCGACAGAAACAGAGGCATGACTGAAAATTGTATCTTGGGTCAAGGTTTCCCTTCGCGTTTCGTGGTTTTCTTTTCAGTTATTTGGCTTGTAATCCCTACTTTCCTTCTATCCTCCGTCCTTCATAGCCTCAATATCTGCTGAAATGTAGGAGATCGCTTTCATGTTTAACTCATTTGTTTGCGCTAGTCCTTCCTTTTCCCACTGTTCTACACCTTAAAAGTTGTCCATTCGACTCTAACTCCCTATCACGCTTCATTGCCTATCTTTCAGTCCTTTGAATTGACAATTTCGATTTATCAAATTATCATTAGGTGAAGTTAACAGTAAAATGTGTTCGAAATACCTCAAATTTAAAGCTTAGGTTATTTAAGCTATAGTCGGTAGAAAATTAAGACTGATTCAGTGCAATTCATGTTCAGTCCAGCGTCCCCTTCTATGGTAGCTATGTTTCACTAGGCTTCATTTCGCCCAACCAAATTGCAAGTACGTGGTAACACCAAATAAATTGAGTTAAGGGAGGCTGCAGCAAGGCCACACCTTGGCCTTTACATTTACGATACGTCCTTGAAAAGCATTTGCGAACCTAGAAGCTCAATACAATAGAATGCAACATTCACCTCGGGGGCGATAGGGGGATCATGTAAAATAAGCAAGACGACGTTAGGTCCGGTAATGGGAACAGCGCTAATCATGTTTGGTAACGGACTGATAATTCGACTTTCGGGTGGGTGTTGTAATTGAAATAGCCTCGCTTTCCCAAAAGTCACTGTCATCTGGAATGGACTGCAGCCAAAACACTGACTAGGCCTCGCACCAGCGTGAAACGAAACTGGACAGTGCAATGCAGTAGACACAAGTGAATTTCAGGAAGTGTCAGGCCTTTTTCGAGAAGCTTAATGTGCGAAAATTAATTCGCTCTTTTGCTATCACTCCGAATATTGCGAAGGAGATCATGCGTGGCTAGTGCTGGCGATTATTACCGATGAATTTTCTAATCACAGGATCTGGATAGTCTGCCAGACCGGTCGGATTGGAGGAAGGGCGAACCTCCACCCCGAATTCTAGGTATGCAGCCAGATATTATACCCGAAAGTCATATTTATGACTCGAGCTGAAACGGAGGTATTCTGACTGAAATAGAGGGATGCGGGGACTACAAATCACTATCCAAGAGTGCAGGTTTGAAAATGTGTTTTTGGTACTGAGAACCGGGAGAAATTGAGATATCAACCCACTATAAGAGATGCCAAGTGAAATTTAAAAAATCATTCTGTTGTGGGAAAGTGCCGAGTGAATTCAAGCTGGCTTTATCGGGAATGTGACCGTAAGAGCCATGAAAACTAGGGCCAAATCAACCAAATTGGCTGACGGGTAAGCACTAAGGTAAAACCATAGAAACTGAAATTTGAAGTCGCTTCGTATCGCATTTCGTGACCAATTCTTCACACTCCGACAGTACCACGATCTTGATCCGCTAAGTCAATCTCGTAAGGCTATCGTCCTCGGGACGACATTAATTTGGAGGCGAGAAGCTCTAGTCGGCGTGGTTTATTCGGACTGAGGTACCAAAGCGGGGATTGCGCCCAAGACCACCATCGCCTGGAAAAATAAATGACACTATTAGGTACAGCATAGCATCATAACTTACACACATATACACTCACGACTATTTACATGACAGACATGTTGCCCACTTAAATCCCAAACTGGGAAAGGCTCTGCCTAGGGCGAACAGCGCTTTATAATTGACGATAAACCAAAGTTGGCCTGAACAATGTAAGCCCAAGATGCGAAGCTCAGGGTTAAACAACAACCATGAAGAGATGGCAGGAATACCGCCTTGATCGAACATTTCGTAGTTCAGAGCGTCGACATATGAATAGAATAATGAAGACTTTTACCTAAGTGGTACACAGCCTAGCTCCTAGATGCGAATGAACTCATAGATCTGATACATTTTGTGAATAACGACGATTGATCCGTCGTAAGATATATGAATTTAGAGCGGTAGTGTAATATATATGCACGTAATCAAACGTTTAGAGTTAATTAACGGGCAAATTGATAATCGCATTACCAGTGCGGACGAGGCTGACAAGAGCCTGGAGGATAAGGTTGACCGAACAGCCTAAGTTAAAATTGCGCCGTAAAATAAACATTTGACATTTAATGCACCAGCGTGGCAACGCAGCCGATAACAATCAGAAGTGTTCCCTGAGAGATAGGACATCGCAAACTATGCAGCTAAGATAGTCTATTATCGAGGATTGAAGGCACGAAAAAGAGTGCCGCTTGTGTGCACTACTGCACTAGAAGCAAATCTAGAAGCTTCTCCAAATAGGAAGGACCGTCGGAGTAAATGGCAATAAAAATGCACTGGAAATAGTAACGGGTACGGCCAATATATAATAATCAGGTGATAAGAGGGAAGTGGGACCTTGGGTCAAATCAAGAAATGGCCCACAACGCAGGACTCAAGTATCTCCCCGAGATTAATTGAGGACAAAATAAAGATTTTACCTCAATCCAATGCAAACAGGAGTTTCGGAGGACCAATCAGCACATCAATAAATTAACACAAATATCACATTAAAATAAGCCATTGGTGGATAAAAATAAGACTAAGTTAAAGCAATTATGTGAGTTCACAATTCAAAACGCATTGCCAAGCATCTGGAAATGTCGTACTGACTGAACCAGACGAGGTCGACACAAAAGACGAAGAGATAATTGATAAATGGGGGTAGTCTCAATATAGATAGTCATAAAATGCACACAAACCTCATGTGGATATCAGTTATGTTCGAACGAGGCCTTAGTCGAGCTGGCGATAAAACCTTAACGGCATGACAGAGGAGTGAAACAAAGGTGTAGAACCGAATATTTAAAGCAGAAACGACAGCAACATGAAATCAGATAAA